GGGTCTAAACGAAGTTGATATGTTATGTCGGTGAAGTATTCTGCTGATTTTATCTGTTGTTCCTGCAATATATGGTAGTGTGGTTGTTATGACAGGTGTATCTCGAGTTTTCTGTTGTTTCCGTGTGGAAGTTGACTCACTGGATAATCACGTTTTCTCAATCAAGAGAGATCTGAACATCTGTTGATGAATGCGGAAATGAAATATTATGTTCAGACGAACTGAAAATTATTACTGATCCTAAATATTTGAAGTCCATTGAAGCAACTCACAAAATATCTATATACCTATTCATGACCGTTATCTGGAAAATATTTGTCTTGGGATATTACATATTTTTCTACCAATAATATTTTTTGAGCTGATGAAATATCGTGATTTTTTTGGTTAGTAAAAATCTGTATTTTCGTTGATGTATTGAAAACGCCACTAACAGATTATTTCATTTTCATAATATTACAAATAGATAATCAATAAATATATGCAGATCGAAGTTGTTTGTAATCCAAAATAACGTACTCTCTAAGCCACACGAAAGACATCGTTGAAAATGGAAAAAAGTTTAATTATTTTCATTTTTCGCGAAACATCATTATTATACATCCATTATCGTAATCTGAATGAAGATTATATTGGGGTGTTATATGGATGTATAGGTTATTTTCATAAATATTCTGTAATATATAACACATTTTAAGTTATTCTCGCTGGAACTTCGAAACAAGTGACGTCCTTTCCTTCATCATCAGTAAGCGCCCAGTGCACAACGGTCTTCAACTGAAAAATAAAATACACATATCATCAAAAAAAAAAAATTCGAAAAAGTGTTAGGATGTTCGCTGATCTAAACTTAAGGAATGTAAATTTTAGCTTATTTCTTATATGTATATCGAAGAATGCTCCTCGACGTTGAGCGAACTATGATCAATTTAAACAACCACCAATTCGAATGAAATTAATGAAATTTGCATATTTTTCTTAATGGCGCTGTTTCGAACAAATTGAGCCTGTCACAATAACATTCAGAACAACTTTTCAACTGAATCACGTTACTTCAATTTCATCCATGGAAATTGCATTTTTGGAAGGAAATATTTATGGAAAAGGATATTTTGCTGGTTTGAAGTCCTTCCTCTTCATTTACATATGGAGATGATAAAACTCACGTCTTTAATCATATAATCATGAAGTCATTCAGAAACAGTAATTTGCATTATCAAACTATAGTGAAACGGGCATGATAAATACAAAAAAATTAGAGAAAACAATATTGTTTCTACGAAAGTTTGTATAGAGAATAGTCTAACAAACCGAAACCGGTCGTAACTTGAGTTACTTGAGAATGATCTAACGAAATGAAACCGGTCGTAACAAACAATGAACTTAGAAATTAGACCAAAGTTATTGCCTTTATCCTATATTCAATATGAATTTTCACGAAATAAATAGGTCATCAATCGAACAATTTGTGAAATATCCGATTGTGATTGTGATAATTATAAACGTACCTAGATGTTAGATTTTATATGTTCTCTCACATATAGTGCTCAGAAACTACTCTGGAGTTTCTAGCACTCGTGAGTATATTACCAACGTATGGCTGCCCTGTAACTTGTCAAATAAATGTTATTATTATTTTTGTTGTTGTTATTTTTTTAACCGTAGTTTGCGCTGGTCAGGCCCTATCCCCCAAAGCCCCGATACATTCGGGAGGGCGCGCCAGCATTATCAACCAACGACCACTCCCCACGGTGTAGGGTGAGTAAGTGCTCATTGGGTTAGTGAATCATGTGCCCTGAGCAAGCGCAGTTTGCCAAGAATGACAGCCTTCTGCATTTGTCCGGCTAACATTTCTGTCCGGCAAGCCGGTATGATTTTAAGAGTGGAAAGGGCATCATTCCACAAAGGACTGCAATAATCAGTACAACCATATTGACATAGTCGTCTGGATAGAATCTGCGGAGTTCGAAGAGAAAATCTCGATGTTTTATCCGTTTTTCCTCCTCCTTTCGGACGATATTCGTCTCGTCAGGAGCTGAAAACTCCATGACATATATCGTTTTGCTCTGGTGGTCGAGAAAAACTACATCAGGCTTATTGGCTTGTGTACGATTCTGAGGGTGGGGAACGAATAGTTTCAATAAATTCGGCACTTCTCGTTTCACACAACGGATTCAATATCCCCCGAAGCGTAGGGCAACACCGGTGTCTCGTCAATACCCTAAGAGTGACGTAGATGGTAATATAGCACTCTTAAGGCCGCGTTATGTCGATGGATATAGGTCGACACCGCATATGCTGGACATGCTGATAGCAAGTGCATTGGGGTTTCGGGCGGCTCGCGGCAGGCCCTGCACCTTGTGCCAGGAACCTCTATACCCATCACGCGACTGCGGTAGACTAAGGTGTTGAAGACACTATCCTGGCAAGCCATGATAAAACCCTCAGCTTCCGACTTCAGCCCACTTGACCGGAGGAAAGGGAAAGTCTGGCGCTTTGATAAGCCAAGGTCACCAATGTTATTGAAGAAGACCCCATGCATTGGCTTATCCTTGTGTTTCCGCAGAAGTGACGTGATCTCTGTGTCTTTTACATAAGCTTTTTGCTGAACGAGTTCCAACTCGGTGACAGAGTTGAGGTCACCTCGTTCAATGTCGAAAACTAAACCGAGTTCATCAGCTGCTCGGGCAGCTGCGCTGAAGAGAAATGCTCGAAGTCCTGCTCTCTCATGGTCACGGACCATGCGGAGAAGGAGATCCGAACTCCTGACGACTTTATAGGTTATATCAAGTGCAATTCTGTCATGTAGACACTTCAAACTCAAAAGTCCACGGCCTTTCTGTTGTCGGGGGAAGTACAACCAAGGAACGGAAGATTTGGGACGCAAACTCCTATAGAGATGCATTATTATTATTATTATCATCATCATCATCAACATCAACTTTCTCATTTCTATCGATCCAAGAATTATTCTTCTCATCAATTTCATCGTAGGGCTCGTAGTTCTTAATCATCCTTCTGTTTTTAACAAACTGAATTGAATTATTGTTCCATTCATTTTGAGGAGTATCATCTTCTGCTGATGAATATGTTATGTAACATTTCTGTGAGTCTGATAATATTTACTTGTGATGCAATTTTTGGAACCTTTGGTGTAGTAATGAATGTTACTGGAGTTTTTTCCCAATACCAAATCGTTATTTTCAACACCTCGACACGTGTTTCGATCACCAAGAGATCAGCTTCAAGAGAAAGATTGAACTGGAAAAAACTTGCAAGGCTAACCCTTTTTAGGGTATTTAGGGACTTTGGCTAATCCTATTTAGGGTTAGCCTTGCAATTTTTTTCCAATTCAATCTTTCTCTAGGAAATGATCACTTGGTGATTGAAACACGTGTCGAGCTGTTAAAAATAACGATTTGGTGTTGAGAATAACTCCAGTTATATTCACTGGTAATATTTGTTGAGAGGTTTGTTCACTTGTATCAGATCTTCTCTTAATATGTTTGAGGGTGATTGACAATGTTTCATGATGAATTTCATCAGTTCGGACTTCCATTGTCTGATATAATAATAATAATAATAATAATAATAATCGNGAAACTAACAGGCCATTGAATGTTCGCATTGCCGAGCACAAGAAACACACACAGCGAGGGGAAACCAGCAAATCAGGAATCGTAGAGCATGTTTGAACCCATCAACATAACATCGAGTGGTGCCAAGCTGAGATCATACACAGGGAGGAACATTAGTTCAAGAGGACATCAAAAAAAACCGCATACATATTGTCCAACAATGTATTCAGCCAAGCTAGCGTAGAGGTACGCAACATATGGAGACCCATAATCAAGCGAAAAATGACTAACTCCCGCCAAACGGTCATCTCCCAGTGAACCGGTGAAGCGGAAAAAGGAAAGCGGAGAAAGTACTCGAATGGCATATAAATAGTCAGATCTCGGAGGAATAAGTCCAGTCATCACCCGAAGACGATTGTGGATACTAACAATCGAAACGTCGTGAACTAACTTTTTTTTTATTCCATTTATTCCATTCCATTATCTATTTTATTTATTCTATTTTAATTCTTTTTTTTTATCAGTTCTTTCAGGAATTTCAAATCATTTCATATAATATCAGACAATGGAAGTCTGAACTAATAAAATTCTTCTCTTAATTTACTGTTAAATACTCTTGTTTGATGTCTATTAAGAGGATATATAAATACATGTCGTATTCGTGGGCTTTCTTCTGTATCTGTGTTATAACATGTAGGTATAGTGTTCACTATTTACTTTCACTTTCACTTAGCATAACACCTCATTTGGTTGCAGTAACAATTTGATACAATGTTGATACTAGACGTATTCATCTCTTTGGATAGAAAAATATTGAAAAATCATTAACATAGTATTACATGACGAGTTTATATTCAGGTATTTTATATTAATTATATTCTTCATCAAAAAATCTTAAACACTACAAATGACTATATAATCAACCATAATGGAAAACACTTATAAAAACAGCAACTTCAAGGCTGTATCTGACTATTCACAGAACATTATTGAATGATTAGTTACATGTACGGAACCTTGAACTCTAGTCCATCAAGTGAGTTTAAGATTTACGATACATCATTAAACCATTTGTTTCATTTCTTGTATTTCAAATATTGTTAAAACCAGTGTTTCGAAAGTTTTCATTAGTAAAATTGAGCCGATAGTTCATATTATTAGTTTTCATTAAAAAACATTTGTACACGAATTTGTTAAAATATTATTATATTTAGCGATATCTTGTCAAGTAACATCAAAATGTCTATACACTGAAGAATGCTAGGATGCGTTTTTGTTGTACACCGTGTGTGGTATTTCTGACGTTCCCACAAAAGTGTGCCAATAGTCAATATTTCTATTTATTTCAGTCATCAATTCATCTTTATGAATGATGTCGCCAATTTAATTATTTTTCAGACACAAATGAGTGGGATCATATGAGGATTGTGCCAAATTTAAAAAACCATCTTTACTGATGATAGATCCGTTCTGTTTTTTGTTCTTCGGGGTACTGGTTAAAATGAGACGAAATTGCTTTTGAACACGCTCATATTATCTTCACTTGTATATTTGTTTGTTTGCAACCGACTCCTTTGGACTTGATTTTGACCAACATTAAACGGGCAGATGTATTTTAAACTTTGTAAACTCATCAAGAATCGGTGACAATACAATAAATAATTTCATAAGTTCATCCCATTNTATCTTCGAATGTACGTAGGTGAAATACAACAGCTTCATGGCTTTAATAGTATGAAAGTTTCTGCAATTTCTAACAATGAAGCCATAAGCTCTGAGAGATTCTGAAACTTTTTGTGAAATATGCCTACCAAATGTTGATGTATGATCGAATATTACCCCTACGTCTTGGATCTCATTACATCTCAGGAGATCTAAATCCTGTATTACATACGGGAATGTATAAACCTCCTTTTTCGACTATAACTCACCAATGCACATTTCTCCACATTGAGTTTCAATTTATTATTGCTACACCAAGCAACAAGAAATTCTAATTGAGAATGAAGATTTACACAATCACCTACCGCGAAGCATAACCGCTTACAAGCTAAACTTACACATGAGTCGTTAATAAACAAAAAAAAAAAGAGGACCTAGGTTGAAGCCCTGAGGCACACCAGAAGAAGCTATGTGTGTTCTAGATTCATAATCGTTATAGGACACGAATTGTTTTCCACATATAGGATTACATCAGCTGACAGGCAGTATTCGAAAAACCGAAACTCATCAGTTTATTAAGCAAGATACCATGATCAATTTTATCAAATGCTTTAGAGAAATCCGTGTATATAACATCAACTTGACCATTGTTATCTATTGCTTCGGAAATAAATTGAGTAATAATGACTAGATTTGTAACACTAGAACGCCTAGTAACAAATCCATGTTGATGTTGAGATAGTTGACATGGAGAAATCATTCGGTAAGCATGCTGCCGCACATGATAAAAATCGTACACTAAAATCTGATTGGCAGGGCTTTTCAGGTAAGATTGAACGAGGCTAGATGAGGTACTCAGAGCAATGGAAGAAATATGAATAGGTACCTAAAAATGGGAAAAATCTATCTAAAAACTCTACGGTACATAGGAAGACGTGAAAGTTGCTATTGTGTTTTTATTCAACTCAGTCAACCAATTTCCAGGGTCGTAATTCAAACTCTTTCAGGGTAAGAACCATCTATTCTGAAAATTAGAAATTTACAAAACTTTCTTTGAACTCTTTCAATGGCTGTGTTATGAATCTCATAGAATAGACCCCAGACGATACTTGCATATTATATCTTCGAATGTACGTAGGTGAAATACAACAGCTCAATGGCTTTAATATTATGAAAGTTTCTGCAATTTCTAACAATGAAGCCATAAGCTCTGAGAGGTTCTGAAACTTTTTGTGAAATATGTCTACCAAATGTTCATGTATGATCGAATATTACCCCTACGTCTTGGATCTCATTACATCTCAGGAGATCTGAATCCTGTATTACATACGGGAATGTATAAACCCCTTTTTTACGACTATAACTCACCAATTCACATTTCTCCACATTGAGATTCAATTTACCAAGCAACAAGAAATTCTAATTGAGAATGAAGATTTACACAATTACCTACCGCGAAGCATAACCGCTCACAAGCTAAACTTTCACATGAGTCGTTAATGAACAAAAAAAAATAGGACCTAGGTTGCAGCCCTGAGGCACACCAGAAGAAGCTATATGTATATGTTCTAGATTCATAATCGTTATAGGACACGAATTGTTTTCCACATGTCAGATATGATTCCATCAGCTGACAGGCAGTATTCGAAAAACCAAAACGCATCAGTTCATCAAGCAAGATACCATGATCAATTTTATCAAACGCTTTAGAGAAATCCGTGTATATAACATCAACTTGGCCATTGTTATCTAATGCTTCGGAAATAAATTGAGTAATAATGACTAGATTTGTAACACTAGAACGCTTAGTAACAAATCCATGTTGATGTTGAGATAGTTGACATGGAGAAATCATTCGGTAGGCATGCTGCCACACATGATAAAAATCGTACACTAATATCTGATTGGCAGAGCTTTTCAGGTAAGGGTGAAACTGCATCAATATGGGAATAATCTGAAATCACTGACCTACTCTTGTTTCGTCCTGAGGTCCCCAAATCATATTCAGATCTTAAGGGTATGGATTGCAATAGGTATCTGCACTGATCTCCATTGAGGGATGCGACTTGTTATTCGTACCTGCACAGTGTTGAAATTCCAACACACGCGCACTCTAGTTATGTGATAATTAACAAGAACGCAATCATCATAAATTCAAGGTGATATCAATAAGAAATTTGATAAATTCTGATTGGTCAATTTCGTGACTTGTATTAAAGTAGTGTTTACATATGGCTCAGTTTGATTGTTTGTTGAGAAGTGAGTTATCATCTGCCTGATAGTCGCCTATTTATTTGACCGACGTTTTGTTCGCTGCAATCGGCACTTGCAATCTTATATATTCCTTGGTTTTCCAGGTTGAGTTTGCATATTGGGTTGTTTGATAAATTTCTGAGGTTCTCGTTGGCCGTTTTTATGTTGTGTAGTTTCACAATTTTTCCTATTCCATCTATAACTTTTCTGAGGACTCAGACAGGATGGCTTTAGAAGAGCAACACATCGAAGAAAGAAGTAAAACAATGAAAATTATTTAGTAGAGTTGTTGATGGCTATTCGCACATCGCATATTCTAGGCGATGTTTTTTCATTATGTTCACTAACGAATTTTTCACCTTGACCTATCCACCACATTCTCTCCTGATTTCAAACCATATATAATAGGTATATTGAATCAATGTATACCCCACAAAAATAATAAACTTCTCCTTTTCTGTAATTCTGCCCTCCCAATAATGGAAAATAACTATGATGAACTGATAGAAACATTATTTTGTTTCAAGTCTTTACAATTTTTTTCGCCTCTTCAGGACATACTTACCCTCGGATAAACCTTCAGAACTTCTATTTTTGATTTAAAGTAGTATTCTTCCCCAGCCTTCAGATCACAGTTGACTTTGGTCTTTCCATCCTCTTTGTAAATGTCTTTACATGCACTTGTACCGTCTACACCAACGAATGGAAATTCAATTCCTAGAATATTGGCGTTTACTGTGGTCTTCAGGGATTTGATATCTCGATCTGCAAATATAAAAATAAACATTGTAGGGGTAAAACATTTATACAAAGCTCTCTTCCTTGGGAAACCACTAGTTTCTGAACTGGATATTTCTAAAACAGGTTGACTTATCAAAAATCATCGAGACCCGTTACTGAAAGTTACTTGAAGGTTTACACAAGAGTTTTAGCTCCAACCTCCATCTTCCCCCAGCTCTCTCTTCGATGTCTTTGAATGGCAGCGTACCGTGTGTGATTATCTCACCAATCTCTTACTATAGGAGGTAATATATTTGTGAAATTGGAAATCATGAAAACAAACCGGAGTAGATACTTTAGAGAATCTGGACTAGACATCATACTTCAGAAAGATAATCTGGGCTAGACGTAATTGAGAAAAAATATAAATAATAACAACTTCTCTGCACAGATCCAGCTGTACCTCAAAGTTTTCTCTCATGTATTGTCTACGTCGCCATCATGTTATAGGTTTTTAGAGCTGGCTGAATTTTGAAATGATATCAACATCACACATAGTTTGCTGATCTTGAGAAAATTGGGAGATGAAAACGTCTATTTACTGGTTCAGAAGATGTTTAATGTTTTCCTTCATTTCGGAAGTATTAAGAGTGGGAGGTTATTATCCTAGTTGATAGGCTAGGGCGCTTTGATCATGAAATTCCATGATTTTCCTCATGAAGATTCATTTTACAAATTTTAAGATATCGACAGTCATCCAAACTGGTAGGTGTGAAAACTGAGAAGAATTGATGATATCATTTTGGGGTTGAATAAGATGAGAAAAAAATAAGGGATTGAACTTGGGGTGAGGATTGGCGGTTGATAATAGAAAAAATGTGAAAATAAAGAATAAATACTTCCTATATTTTTATTCCACTTTCATTTGTAACTTATGAACAAGATAAACAACACTCGAGTTCATCAATAGGCTCACCCCTATGTCCACTTTCAGCAGCTTGGAGACCACTATAGTAAACTCCGACCTGGGTGAAAACATATTTATTTTTGGTACAGATATGTAGACGATATTCTCGCCTGTTTCTGAGGTACTACACGACAGCTGGACCAATTTATAACATATATGAATAATCTTAACAGAAACATACAGTTCACACTCGAAACAAAGATAAGGAAACGGATTAATTTCCTAGACCTGATCACCACATATCATCATAATAAGTTTGAGTTCAATATATTCAGAAAACCGAGCTATACAGACATGACAATCCCAAGTAATCATTTCCATAACGAAAATCATAAATCAGCAACCTACAATTCGATATTACACAGAACATTCTCGTTACTTTCGTCTGCTAACAATCTGAATAGGAAAATTAAAACAATTATACAGGTGAAACATAATGATGGTTTCAACGCAGACACAATCAAGAAGTTAGTCATAAAACAAAGCCTCAAATTCACGTAGAGATTAATATACCCTCAAATTAAACAATCAAGACATTTGTAACTTCTACATATTTTGGTAAAAGAACGGGGGCAATTGCGGCTATTTTTATGGAAAAAAACTATGCGAAAGGTTATAATAATAATAAGTACTTTTATTGAAGGGTTACTCAGTAAAATTTCTGATTTCCTTTCTAAGGCCAATAATAAAGTGGATAATATGATTGAATGTAGATACGGGACTACCGTGAATCGGCTTCAAAAGTCAAATCCGACTGTGGTATTTCATTACAGACATTACGTACCACATGAACAAAACTGTAATGCTATTCAGTTATTGGTATCTCTGGACATTCTCATCATCATACTCAATATACGATGTCTATACCCAAGTCTTCAACTACAGGTTGCTAAAATGGTCAAGTCACCATGTAGAATTGCAGAGTCCTTCCTGGAGTATATAGCTATACAAAGCTTCAAATCATCTATGAAATACTGAGAAATGGAACATTAATCTATGTCATTCACAAGGTGTTGAAACAGTTTAGGACACAGGTATGACCCTTGAGATACCCCATAAACTTAGGCAGAAAAACCCAGCCAGTCTCATTGGCAACAAAAGGTATACATTTAAGGACTTATTTCCAAAACTATGTTGTTCTTCCACAATACAATCNCTATGAAATACTGAGAAATGGAACATTAATCTATGTCATTCACAAGGTGTTGAAACAGTTTAGGACACAGGTATGACCCTTGAGATACCCCATAAACTTTGGCAGAAAAACCCAGCCAGTCTCATTGGCAACAAAAGGTATACATTTAAGGACTTATTTCCAAAACTATGTTGTTCTTCCACAATACAATCTGAGTATTTTGAAGGAAGGTAAAATAATTTTTTACATGATCTTGGGAAAGGCAGATTGCAAAGTGATGTAGTTGTTGTTTTGAATATAGAAGAAACATACGGATTCCATTTGTTGGAAAAAAAATCACTGGACAATGACTCGTTGAAGATGATCTGTTTAAAATATGTTTAAAATCTGTTTTTCCGTTAACCAGCTGTCGCACCCCTACGAACGACAACCCTCAGAAGTCGAAACTTGTGCGAGCTAGTTTCCAAACAATTTCGGATGTTAGAACCAGAACAAACCTTCTATATCCCTGGATGAGTGGCGGGGGGACAGGTAGCAGGGGCGATAGTGAAGTTGGTAATTAAAATAGGGTTATGACTTGTAGAAGCGAGATGTGCAGTGTTGTTGAATGTGTAGGGCGACAGCAATGCTCTCCATGGAACAGGTAATCTTTGTGTGTCATCTCGTTTTCAATAGCTTCACGGGTCATCCTGACCTCAAAAATGTTTTCGGTGGCAATGGTTTTGGTGTTTTCGAAGCTTATTGTATGACTGTTTCACGGTGATGTTTGAAAAAGGATAAGGCTGGATCTGATTTACGGAGAGCAAGCCTATGTTCATAGGCTCTGTTGGTCACGCCCAATTGGGTATTGTGTCCCTAGGTGTTCTTGGAAAAGTGGAAATTTGATTGTGTTGGCTGTGAATACTGTTCTTATATCATTCTTCTTCAAAAGTCTGCTCACTTTGTCGGTTACTCCATGAATACAAGAAAGAAAGGCTTTTCGGTGGTCCGTCTGTTCATCTAGTTGTTTGGGATGTGGGGTACCAACAAGAATGGATAGTGACAGTAGTCTTCAATTGCATATAGTAGAGAATATTTCACCTGAAATATCTAGGTTCAATTCGATTTTGAATACTGAAATATCAAAATTCAGTATCAGTCAAAACATTTTTTTATTCTCATCGTTTCATTGTGTCTCATACTCCAAGCATCACTCAAATCATGCTCATATTTCACAGAAGCCAAATGAGAAATGAAAAATATGAACCTGTCCACTGAAAGATGAAACCATTATCACATCGTCGTAATTTTCAGGAAACGTATGATAAAATATTTGGCCCTTCTGCGTTTCCGTAGTTTCTATTTGTAATTCTTGGTTTGAATTCGACAAGTTTGTGAGATAAGAAGAAACCTGAATATAGGTTCACTACTGTCACCGTAATTGTTCAAGTGTCAAAAGGATATGTAGCTCACGACTAACTGTTTCAGTTGATACGCCAAAACCTGGCAAAACCCAAGAACTAACCAAAACTTTGATGCCAGCCATAAAAGCCTACATTTAGATATAATCACATAATTTGGTCACATAAAATAAAATTGATGTCCGCTAAATACTTTTGCAAAATAATTGGTCATACATCAAACCTCAGGAATGAAAATATTATGATTTTATTTGGGAACCATGATGATCAATTTCAACTGAATACATTCTCTGATTTTTTTTCTAAAGTAATTGAGCATGATACAAATCTTCGAATGAAAGAAAATTCTTAATGTATATTACAATGTTCAGTGAGTAATTATTATTAGTCCAAATTATTAACGAGTTCACTGCATGAAACAATACATGTGATATGTGATATTCAAGTGTTTATCATGAGAAATATGCAGACATAAATCATTAATTCAACTCAGAAATGTTTGAAACGACAGAAAGTGTTCTTAAAATTGACGAAAAATGTCAACTCGATTCGATATGTTTCGTCACAATGACAGTTTTGGGAGATGAACTTTAAATTTTTGTCATTCTTCGGAGTAATTTTTCATTTCATCTCCTGCAAGGGTCAGTTGAGATATTTTTGAAAACAATGTCATAATATTGAGAAATTTTCGTAGAGCGAAGACCGGCAACATTCATTTTCATCATACTTTCATAGAAATCATGGAACGAAAATGACCCTAATATTCTTATCGATTGCAAATGTTATCAGTATGTTTCTTTTTTTTTTATTCAATGTTGATCATTATAGGAAAAGTCCTATATGTTTTTTGGATGAATAAATTGGTGATTTTCTTGATAAATAACAAGCTGACAAATTAGTATATTGTTCAACAAGTGAGAAAAACGACATATTTCTCACGAGCGGAGAAGTTTGTTGGCCGCAAATCAAGCGAGTGAGAAATATGTCATTTTCTCAAGCATTGTACACTATACTTCTTCTACGGTTGCGTTGTTTTCAAGTATGAACATTAAAATACATATATAATAATACTTGTATGTCATTAACTCATTTTCATATTCTATTCAAAATAGTAATCAACAGTTATATTTGAACAATTTCATAAAGTAATTCCTGGTAGGTCATTTTATTTCAACATGTTCGGTAATTGAAATATTAGCTGCGGTCGAAGTTGAAGTTGATGGGGAAACGTACTGAGCTTCCACAGCATTGTTGTGTTCAGGTTCTAATGACCCTGGAGGCTGAATGGACTCTACTATACTTTTTTAAATTTTCATTTTGTTACCTATGGAGTTGTCGATATAAGATTCAGCAACATTGCTGGATTTCCAACCCCCATGGCGTTTTAAAGTTGAAAGATATGTCCCTGCATTAACTAAAATAGTCGCAGATGACCTTCGGATACAGTGGCCAGTATATAATTCAGGGTTCGGTGATTGCAAAAATTTTGCTATTTCTTTCGTCATGGTGCCAAATTTATTTATCCTCACAGGCTGTTTCGTAC